GCACTGACTCAGGACAAAGGTGGTGCAGCCTCGGGAGGAACTACAAACGCTGTTGTCATCCGGAATTTTATAAATGTACGAGTAAAATCAGTAGGTTTCCATTTTAGATTATTGATTTTAATAGTGCTTTAGAAGCATACTCCTATCAGAAAATAAACAGAAATGAAATTCTTCTTCACTAAAACTTAGTGCATAAATATTTTGAGGTCTTTTAAGTCACAAAAACCTGCTAAATTCTCAAAAATAGACATAAATCCTATTTGCCAAATGCAAATACATACACATAAACACATGTCTCCACACATATATGTCTATTTACATGGTGATTTTTGCAATAATGAACATAAAGCCTACAAAAAATAAAACATCTATGAACATTCACAGAATCTGGGCTTCCTACTTTAAAATCTTTAACATTATACTATTCTGACTTATTTAATAATATAAAGCAGATGTATATTTCTGCATCAGGATTGTTACTACATGGCTACACAAACTTTCTTATTGCTGGTAAGATTACCATAATTTATCAATCGATAGCAACCCAATGGTAGGTGACAGTGACACAATTCACTGTACTCGATGTGAAAGCTGTTATATAACTGAAGTTATAATTATGGGCTTTAGTAAAAATCAGCCAAGAAATAATACCTTCAGTCTGCAGCCAAAGTAAGTAATGTTCTATATTTGTTATCGTGAGGCGGTCATTGTTCCTCCTCCCTGAATGTGCTGCTATTAGTTTGTGAGCTTTATTAGGGAGAGCGCAAAACACAATGCCTCCCACTCACAGACATCGAACCAATCTTCACTGAGTGAATAACTGAACAATCCATCAGCTCTTGGATCTGAATTGCTGTGAAATCCATTCTGAGTAGTACTATGTTTGCAGCCACTTCTTACTGTAATAATCACTGGATGTAATTAATTCAATTGCTAAAGACTATTGATGTTTTGAGGGGCTGTAAAAATAAAATGTAAAAATAACTGGACTCACCCAAACAATTCTTTGTTAGTAGAAATTAATTTAGCTTAATGTCTGTACGTAATATTGCCACACATTAGGGTCAGGGAGATGGCTCAGTAGAATAAGTGCTTGCCTGGCAAGCACAGGGTCCTGAGTTCAATCCCCAGTATCAAAAAAAAAAAAAAAAAAAAAAGTTGCCACACAACTTTTTAGTAAATTCAAAAGAAAACAAATATGCACTTAAAGTAGCATTAATAAAAAGAGTAAGAAAACTGTTAAAGCAAAAGTAGGTAACAAACCAAGATAAATAGAAATATTAATGGCAAAATACATTTTAAAAATAGGTATGAAAAGCAATAATAGATATGGGATTGAGAAACATATGCCAGTGTACCAATAAAAATGGACAAGGGATGATCAAAACACATGCTGAATGCTTAAATTTTAAGACTTTATTACAGTAAAAGTTACATCACCATAAATCAAGACATTCCCCATTGTTCAAACACATGTATCACATCGTTCTTGCCATGTTCTGAAGCAGTTCTGGAAGTTCTTTTTTATGCTTTAGGAGGCATGAGCCAAAGCTGTCATATAACTGAAGTGATAACTATGGGCAGCGACTGCATCTGCTGCCTACCTTTCAGTGGAAACGCAGCCAGGGAAGAACACACAGCGTTGGGCTCAGCGGAAAGGAATACCGCATGAGGAGCCGGCCTGGAAACAGGGGTGGTGGCGCATCCATATAATCCCAGCGGTGGGGAGGCTGAGACAGCAGGGTCACTCTGAGTCTGAATGGTGTAGCAAGACCTTGCATCAAATAAATAATTTTTTTTAAAAAAGAAAATATACTGTGATCTTGTTTGCCTTATTCATGGGATCTGGCAACATCTAAATTCTGGTTCTTTCCCAAAATAATGACTATAAATGTCAAAACCATTGAATCAATTCAGAGCATCAAAAAAGCCACAGTTAAAGACACTCATGAAAAAGGACTCCAGAAGTGCTTCAGAAAATGGCTAAAATGAAACAATAAATGTGTTTTAACAGTGAGGGTATCTTAAGGGGTATTACTGGGACTATGTCTCTTACTGTAGTACTATTTTTATATTTACACATTCCTTGTAATTTTTGATCATACCTCATATAAAAATATCCCCAAAGTTAAGAAAGGGACATAGAAGCCAGTGCTCTAAATTTGTAGAATTTTTAGAAAAACTAAAAATCAATGAATTATACTAAACTAGTAAGTCACATAGATATGAAAGAGTAATTTGGTAAAATTAAAACAATAACCAATGTATATATTCTAACAGGGGAGCGAGTAAATCATAAAAATGCTTTATAAATATTCTAAATTTTTATCTATGACATGGTTATAGTATATAATAACAATTCTTATTTATTACACAAAAAAGATATGATAGAATAAAAAAAGATTTGTTTAAACATGAGTCTTAGACTCTCAAATTTCTTTTTTTCTTTTTCTTTTTTGTTTGGTGGAACCAGGGATTGAACTCAGGTCCTTGCACTTGCCAGGGAAGCACTTTTTCTACTGAGCTATTTCACTGGCCCCGAGACTCTCAAATTTCAACAATAAAAGCAAACAATAAAAAAATCAGTTGCAAAAATGAGTAAAAGTTGTAGGCAGACACTTGATCAATGTGAGTGGATGGGCTGGAGGCTGTGAAGATGAAGACGGATTCCCGCATCACCCACATCCACCCATACACACACCTATCAGCAGGGAACAGTACCAGTAGCAGCCACTCCAGTGCTTGCAGAAGTGAGGAGAGTCTGAATCACTCATATATTTCTCTTTGATGAGACTATGCAATTAAATAGTCACCCTATAAAACAGTTTGGCCTTTCTGTTGTTGTGCAGGGCCTCACTACGCAGCTAGAACTCACAGTGATCCTCCTGTTCTCGGTCTCCCCAGCACTTCCACTGCAGGCGTACACCCCCACGCCCAGACTCCATTGCCAGCTCACTGTGCCTGGGGGCAGGGGCGAGAGCAGCGTGTGATGCCAGGGATCAAAGCCAGTCCCTGTGCTTGCCTAAGCTAAGCAAGCTCTTAGTCTGCTGAGGTATCTGGCCGACCCCTGACCATTCCTTAAGGAGACTAACTATGGCACAGTAATCCAACCCAGAAATTGTTTCTTGGTTATTTAGCCTAAGAAACAAAACAGAGGGGAGATCCGTTTGTTTACAAAGTGGTCAATTGGAAGGCAGCTCCTGCCATCCCTTCAGCAGGTTGGCTGGCCTCCAGTGACCACAGTTTAATGTTTTAAAATGGATGTGTCCACTAAATGCATAGAAGTAACTCAATTTCAAGACAAAGAGAAATGCGCAAATCTAACACCCAAAAGGAAGACTGACCAACTCTTTTCATAAGCGATGCAGTACATGGAAGCATCACTAAAGTAGAGAGAGTGGGAAGCCCTACTCAACAGCGAACTGTCGGGCTGAGATATGCACCATGCAGCACCAGAAAGAGAAGGTCCTTCCTCTACCAGCGTACACAGAAAGCCACGCAAGCAATTCACATGCCAGGTAAGATCAAGTCTTAACAAGTGCCCCCACATTAAAATCATCCAGCAAAAATTATCCTAGAAAACAAGTGTGATAATGTAGAGGTTTCCCGTCTTTTGAGATTTTAAAGTAAAATTTTAAATATTGTATTGTTCAGAGAGGTAAGAAAATGAAAAAACAAAAAAAAAGCACCATAAGGAAAAAGACATAAATACTGGTACTATGGGTTTTTAACTCTGACCAAGAGGGGTTAGGGAAACTGCTAGGTGGCATAAGCACCTGCCTGGCAAGCCCAGGGTGCAGAGTTCCATCCCTGGTACCACCTGTCCTGCTGGCCAGGAATAAGGTCTGCTGGCGCACATCTGGAATCCCAGCACTAGGTGAGCTGAGACAGGATGATCTCAGTCTGAACTGCTTAGTGAGACCCTGTGTCAATAAATAAATA